AACTATTTAAAAGTCTTGATCATCATCGCAGCACACCCTAATCGGGTCGAAGCCATTGTAAAATAACGATTAAAAAAATTCGTACTTTGTTCAACGATGACCCTGAAAATTCACTAAATGTTTCAGATTTCTTCTCTTCCATTCCTATAAAAATTGCCGGAAAATGATTTGCCATTGCTCATTACGTGAATTGTTCCGTAATTTTTATTGAATATTTCTCTCCGTGCGTGTGACATACTAGTATATTACGTTACAAGTATGAAAAAGGGGGAATGTTAATAGTAATGTTTTTAGGGAGAGTCGTAGGATACGTGCAGCCCGCACTAGACTCGGCTTGTCTCGTCTCGTCTATCGCTCGGCTGCGCGTGTCCTACGACTCTCCCTAAAAATATTAACACATGAGTTTAACGTTCCCCCTTTTTCACACGTGTAACGTTTACTATTTTTTGAAATAAGTGTTTGGAAAAGTCATCCTATTGTGGGATTGAAGTTTTGACTAACATGGAGGATGACGAGGGAATGCTTCATGAAATCCGAGAGGCGACCGACTAACGCGTAATGGCTGCCGTATGGCTGATCTAATTCAGTCAAGACGAGTATGGTTTAACTGAGGAGATTGTGGGCCTCAAATTTACCCCCACTTTTCCCAATCCCTACTACAATCGTTGTCTCCCACCTCTGACACTCAGTGCTACAATCTCCTCAGTCCGACAGTAGACCAATGTTTTCAGCGGCGCACATAGTTACAGGAATAACGACACTGGATTGATCGAGAACGTACCGACTGGTGCCATCTTTCAAACGGTGATATAGTAAAGTCAGCTGTTGTAAACGAAAAGTTACTTTTCTTACAATTTTAAAAGTGACGAAAAGTGCCACTTTTCGCACAAAAATCTGTAAACGAAAAAGCACTTTTCCAAGCACGTGTTTCAAAATAGTATATTTCGTAACGAGTGCAAAAAAGTGTTTTTTGGCGAGTGGGAGCCGAAGGCGAGTGATATAATCCCACGAGCTAAAAAACATTTTTTCACGAGTTACGAACAATATTTTTCATCACAATGTGGCGGAAATTGGACGTTTAGGCACGCGGAGCGTGCCGAAAAGTTCACTTTTCGTCACAGCGTGATGAAATAGTATATTTCGTTACGAGTGCGGAAAAGTGTATTTTGGCTCGTGGGAGGTTTATAGCACGAGCCGAAGGCGAGTGATATAATCCCACGAGCGAAAAAACACTTTTCCCACGAGTATCGAACAATATTTTTCATCACAATGTGTGGAAAAGGGACTAAAAAGTTACTGTTTCGCACAGCGTGATGAAAAATATTTTTCATCACACTGTGACGAAAAGTGAACTTTTCGGCACGCTCCGCGTGCCTAAAAGTCCAATTTCCGCCACATTGTGATGAAAAATATTGTTCGTAACTCGTGAAAAAATGTTTTTTGCACTCGTTACGAAATATACTATTATGTCGTTGGGCCTGAAAACCGTGATCTCACCGAGCGAAGCGAGGTTAGAACCCCGGTTTATCGGGCCGAATGACATAAATATTTTTACATTACATCCAAAAAATGATGAAAATAGAAATAATCAAACATTGATTCTAGAAAATTGTTCCTAGAAACGATCCAAAAATACGCAAGTTCATATTTTCCAACGAATTATGCATATGTTAAGGAGAAAAGCTTGGTATGGTATTTTACACAAGTGTTTTACACAGCAAGCCGCGTTTTTCGTCGCGTGTAAAACCGACTTACCTCACGAGTTGTGTAATGCATTTTATGTCATCAGTGCGTCTGTGGGGGTGGCGAGTGGGTACGGGCGGGGGAGG